ACGCTACCTCAGATTTTCCATCTCTGAAATGGGTATGATTATACAAGACAGTAATGTTTGTGGAAAATTTCAAGGACCTCAGGTGACGAGTTTTGGCTTTGTAGACAGTACACACACACACAGTATCAGATCAGCCTCCAGGCAGAGTGGGGGCATCGGAATTTCATTAAAATAATCTAAGTGGAGAACATCTGGCTCCCCTACCTGTTGGTGCGTTTGTCTGTTATGTTTGGTTGGTAAACTAGCCTGCAGCCACCTCATGCTCACTCTTGAAACACAAAACATTCTCTCCCGGGCAAGGAGCTCCCAGCTCCAGGTGGTTATGAGTGGAGAAGGGGAATGGACACGTTTCGTTTCTTGCTCTGTTCACAGGACACAGGTTCAAGCTTGCCTTTCACCCCCAAGCGAGTTTTAGTCTCTGGAAGTCTTCCTTGAACATTGGCAGACTCAGGGAATCTGTTCCCGATGAGCCCTTCCCTGGTGTCTCTGGCCCGATGCAAAGTTTGTGCTGTTTGCATGTTGCCCATCAGGTAGAATTGTTGTGGGAAAGCCTTTCTGCGTTGCAGGGGAAGGTGGGCATGCCCGGGGAGAGAAGGCAGCTCTGCAGTCCATGCCTCAGTAGCAAAACACCACTGCATGGCTCTGAGTTCAAAGGCTAATCCCACTCGAAGATTTTGTTCTCTAATAAACATTGTCCAAGGTGCCTGACGTTATTTGCCTGCCCAGCAGCCATTTTCCTTTCTTCTGGAAAGAGCAACCCACTTTTGTTTTGGCAATCCTCCACCATCCGCTATCATCTGGGTAGTATCATTAATCAAAGTGTCTGTCTTGCCCTCCACTGGCCACGGGGTCAGCCCGTGCCTGTGGCTGAGCCAGGCTCTGCTCCCTGAAATGTGAGTCCTGAAGGACTCTCCAGGGCTGGAACTCATTCACTTGGTGCCTGTGCTCTGACCAGACGGTCTCTTAGTTCCCTGGGTCTCCGGAGCTGCTCTGGTCTCTGCCCCTTCCGAGGGCTATTCTTTGGCAATTGCTTCTGTTCTACGAATCCCCCGAGGCCCGTCCAATACATTCCTTTTTGCTTAAGTTAGTTAAAGTCAACTTCTGCCCCCGGCTACGATGAAGCAACGGCTCCAGACTTGTTTTCCAGCTGCACAAACTAGGGAGCTGGACAAAATGTACGAAACAAGTGTTTTCAGACACCAGACAATAGGCAGTGCAGGACTATGAGCCCTGGAAGGCAGGAGGCAGATGAAGTGAGCCTGGGATCACCTTGGCTTTCTGCCGGGAGGCACTTCATAGATGGTGGCACAGAGAGAAGAGTCCCAAGCAGAGAACAGCAGCCTCTCTGAGTGGAGGAGGCAGAGGTCAGCCTATGTGGAGGTTGAAGAAGCTAGAATTTATGGGGTCAAGTTCCAGAAAAAAAGGTGCTAGATAAAAAAAAAAATGCTAGAAATCTGTATAGGGAGCCCCTTAAGTCATTTGCCGGATACTACATTGCTCAGGCACTGGGTGAAATGCTACAAGGATGTCAAAGAACAAGTACTGTGGGTGTGTAAGCTGAATAGGTTCTAGAGCTCCCACAGGACTGGCAGGTGGGGGATCCACGTTTAGCAAGCCAGAATGGGGCTCACTGGACATCCAGGCCTTCATTAAAGACCACAGTGAAATCATTCCTTGGTAGCAGGGCTAAACTATCCTTAGAAGAACAACTCCTCTAGATCCACTCCCAACAAAACTTTTCTTAAAAGCCTCAAAAAATCAAGCTGACTGGTAAGTAACTTGACTGCCCACCAAACAACTTCAGAGGAAAACAACAAATCCAGATATTCAACCACATAACATGAACAATGTCTAGCATCCAATAAAGAAATTACTAGACACCTGGAGAAGCATGGACGTGTGAGCTATTACTGGAGAAATACCAGTCAATACAAGCATACCCCAAATGACAAGAAGATGTAATTAACAGACAAGGACTTTAAAACGGCTATTACAAATATGTTCAAAGATTTAAAAGAAAACATGAACATAATGAGAAATGGTAGATTTTTTTTAAAAAAAGAATCAAATGAAACTATACAGAGGAAAAATACACTATCTAAAATGAAAATTTTACTGGATAGGTTTAACTGCATATTAAAGATTGCAGGAGCAAAAAATGAATACACATGATAATAATAGAAACTATTCAAAAGGAGAGAAATACAGTAGAAAAAATGATCACAGTATCAGAGATCTTTGCAACAATATTACAAGGTTGACCCTACATTGTAGTTAGAGTTCCAGTAGGAGAAGAGGGCAAAAACAATGCCTGAAATTATAATGGCTGAAGATGTTCCCAAACTGATGAAAACCATAAAACTACAGATCCAAGAAATCAACAAATTTGAGGCAGGATAACACAAAAAAAACAAAATCAAATTACTGAAAATCAGCAACGAAGAGAAAGTCTTCAAAGCAGCCAAGATAAAATGACATATCACATAGTATGCACAAAAATAAGAAATATCTCTGATTTTTTTTTTCTTAAAAACAATGCAAGCCATAAGACAATGGTATGACATTCTTTGTTGTATTAAAAATAAAATAACAACTTTCAACCAAGAGTCTCTATCCAGTGAAAGTATCCTCAAAATACGAAGGTGAAATAAAAATGCGCTTCAGACAAACAAGAGGTGGCAGAATTTGCGAACATCAGACTTGCACTATAAGAAATATTCAGAGAAGTTCTTCCCAGGCTGAAGGAAAAAATGATGTCAGGAAACTCAGATCTACACAAGGAATGAAAAATGCCAGAAATTGTAAATATGTGAATCGCTAGAAAAGACTTGTATTCTTGCTTTTAAATCCAAGTGACCCAGAGTCGGACTGCCTTGGCATTTCAGAATGCAGAGACAGAGACAGGAACTGCATGGCTTTTCAGAAATCATCTTGTCTCTGAAGCAAGCATGACACATGCTAACCTCTGTTCGTTATGGACTGAGAATACCTGGTTCATTGTCATACTAACCTTTGTACTCATACATACTTTTTAAAAATATATTTTATTGATTTTTTACAGAAAGGAACAGAGAGGGACCGAGAATTAGAAACACCGATGAGCCCTAACCGGTTTGGCTCAGTGGATAGATAGAGCGTCGGCCTGTGGACTCAAGGGTCCCAGGTTTGATTCCAGTCAAGGGCATGTACCTTGGCTGCGGGCACATCTCCAGTGGGGGGCGTGCAGGAGGCAGCTGACCGGTGTTTCTTGCTCATCGATGTTTCTAACTCTCTATCCCTCTTCCTTCCTCTCTGTAAAAAAATCAATAAAATATATTAAGAAAAAAAAAAGAAACATCGATGAGAGAGAAACATCGATCAGCTGCCTCCTGCACACCTCCCACTGGGGATGTGCCCGCAACCAAGGTTCATGCCCTTGATTGGAATCGAACCCGGGACCCTTCAGTCTGCAGGCCGATGGCCTATCCACTGAGCCAAACTGGTTAGGGCCTCATACATATTTTTAACAGCATAAAAATCTACCAACTCTTTTATTTTACAGATGAGCCAAGCAGGGCCTTGAGATGGATGTGACCTCCCCAGGGCATGACCCCAAGGCCTAGGGGCATGAATCACACCCTCCGTTGCCTTCCTGGGGCCCAGGAGATCAGATCACAGCCCCAGGTTCAAATCACAGCTCGGCCACTTACTAGCAGTGCAGTTTAGAGCAAGTGATTAGATGTCTTTAAGCCTCAATTTCTTCTCATAAAATGGGACTAATCAGATGCTTTCCTCCTTGACTTGCTGAGATTATCACGAAAGATATCGGGAGAGTCAGGAGGCTTCTGTTCAGAAGTGACCAACTCAGACTATCTTGAGCATGAAGAGCATGTATTGTCTGGGAAGCTGGGAGGAACGGATGGCTTCAGGCACTGCTGCTTCCAGGAACTCAAACCATGTCGTCACGAAGCTCCATCTCTCGCCTCTGCTTTGCTCCGTTTTGTTCCCCTGAGCGTGGCAGAGAGAACCCACAGCAGCTCCAGGCTCACGTCCCACTTAGGCAGCAGAGCCAAGAAAAAGCAAATTTCTCTTTCCCAATAGTTTTAGCAACTATTCACTCTGATTAACCCACTTTGGATCCCACCCCCATCCCTGAACTAACCCCTGACTCTGATTGGCCAGACCTGGCTTGTACAGCCTCCTCTGGAATGTGGGGGCTGGGACAGAGGTGGTTTCCTAAAGGTACACTGGGATTCTGCCATCAAAAGTTTTGCCGAACTGCCAAAAGCAATAGACGTTTCCGACACGTCTATAAAGTACTGGACAGTAAGGCCTGCTGAGTATAGCCTCGTCCAAGCACAGCTTTGCATGTACTAACTCAATATTTACAACGGCACCGGGGGTGAGGTGGCGGGGGTGCGGGGGCAGGGAGGCTCATGGAAGCCCTCAGCTCATGAAGACCCAGCTTTATGATGGGTTTCCAGTTCCCAGCCTTGTGTGACCCCAGGAGGCGTCTCCGGTCCCCAGCTCCTACTGGAGAAAATTGCCGGCACTGTACCGTCAGCGTGGGCTTTCTTTCCTCCTCTGTTTTTGGCCTCTGGGAATTGCCCTGACTTCCCTAGAAACTCTGTTACACATTGAGAATAATTATTCTTTTCAACATCTCTATGTGTTTCATAGCACAATGGCCTCCCATTGTACAGATGAGGAAAGTGAGGCCCAGAAAGGTTAACTGCCTCACTCCAGGCCACACTGTTAAGCGAGTGGCAGAGCCGGTATTCAAACCATGCTCAGCCATCTCAGGAGACGGCGGCTGGTTAATGAGGTCACACACCTGGCCTCTGACAGAGTCTCATCTAGAACCAGCTTCTCCTTAGTCCAGGGGTGGGCAAACTTTTTGACTTGAGGGCCACAATGGGTTCTTAAACTGGACCGGAGGGCCGGAACAAAAGCATGGATGGAGTGTTTGTGTGAACTCATATAAATTCAAAGTAAACATCATTACATAAAAGGGTACGGTCTTTTTTTTTTTTAGTTTTATTCATTTCAAACGGGCCGAATCCGGCCCGCGGGCCGTAGTTTGCCCACGGCTGCCTTAGTCCCTGGAGTCCTCCAGGCACCCCTCCTACCTCCTGACCTCAATGCCCATGTCAGACAACTTGTGACAAAACGCTGTGAATGTTTCCACACTGGACGAGGGGAGAGAGTGGCGGGGGAGGTGGGTGGGAGAGTCCCGGCCAATGGAAGGCACGGGTGGCTCTAGCCATTTTCTCTGGCTGCCATGACAGCTCCTTGGTGTTCCTTGGCTTGTAATGCGTAACTCCAATGCCTGCCTCCGTCTCCCCCTGGTCTTTCCCTCTGTGGGTCCCATCCCCTGCCTCCCTCTTACAAGGACACCTGTCTTTGGATGCGGGGCCCACCAGGTAATGCACCTCATTTTGAGCTCCTTAGGTTCATTACGCCTGCAAAGACCCCTTTTCCGGATGAGGTCACATCTGCAGGTCCGGGGGTGAAGGGCCTGGGGCAGGGAGCAGGGGAGAAGCAGTTGGCGTGCCATGCGTTCCTTCTCCCGCTGTGGGCGAGGAGGAGAGCCGTGGGCTTGGCTCAGGGAGCCGGCCGGCCGCCGTGGGATCTCGACAGCGCCTCTTGTTTTGTATTTTTCTCTTTTGTTTTGAGGTTTTCTGCCCTCTTTTCTGGAAGGTGCACGATGCTCCGATGCTCTGCTCTGTGGTTATTTTCGCCCAACAGCTGTGTTTCCGGTGAGCAGCTGGGGGATGCTTCTGACTCAGCAGAACCCGCGCAGTAACCGTCAGGCAGCCGCTCAGGCGAGGCCAGAAATAAAGAAGCAGTTTCTAACCGGCCCCCTCCTTTCACTTCCCCACCCCGGGGCACCTTTCGAAAGTCTCCCAAAGCCCTTCTAAAAAACCGCGGCCGCCGTGCGCTGCGGGCCGGGCTGGCTGTGGCCGGGCCAGGCTTTCCGAAAACAGACGATTCCCGGCAAGGACCCTGCCAGGCCAGCCGGGGCCTGGGATGCCGCGGCCCCTCCCCGCGCGGCGTGTGTCTGACAAGTTTCCCACAGGTCTGAGCAGTGAAAGCGGGGGCGGCCGGGACTTCTGTGGTTTTCCAGGGTGTGGCCCTCGTCGCCGTCACCAGGCCCGGGTATCTGCGCTCTGCAGCTCTGCTCGCCTGCGTTTAAAAGGTGGTGATTTCACCCCGGGTCTGGGCTCCGCGGCTATGCATTTCTACCCCCCTGGCCCCGGATGGATTCTAGCCCCTGACGGACGCCTGGGGTGCTGGAGGCCCGCCCGCCCGCAGCAGGCAGGGCCCAGGCAGGGAATCGAGCGCTGAGAGCCAACCTCCCAGCATGCTGGTGCCTGCACGGGGCTCACGGAGGGCGAGACAGCTGCTGCTGAGCCTCGAGCTGCGGTTCCGAGAAAGAAAGGAACAAACAAATTTAGCTCCGTCCTACGCACCCTTCACAGCTGCGTATTGACCAAACAGAGAGAGGCCTCTGTGTCAACCCTGGCTTCTCGCTCTCTCCCAGGAGGTCTCCCACCACCCTTCACGAGGGACTTTTTAAGGTGGCAACTGCCCTTGGCCGCCCGTACCTCTGGGTGAGACAAGGCTGCCCAAGGAGCTCAAGGTCAAGGTCCCTGGTGCCTTTTGCCAGCCTGAAACTGAAACGAAAGGGTGCAGCCGACGTCTGCACCTGGGCCCCGGCTCCTAGATCGTCCCCGTCCTCCTTTGGGAGCCAGCGTGTGGGAAGCCCGAGCCACGTGCGGCGGCTCCCAGGCCAGCCTGTGGTTCCCGGAGCCATCCGTTCAATAGCACCGCGTGGCCATAAAGAACTCGCTGACTGGGTTTGCGAGTGAAGAGCCTGGAACGAAGCACCGAGGCGGTTTCGTGCGGCTCACCAGTTCGGATGGGTGTTCCCGTGGGACAGGAGGGATGAGCTGCGGACGCCCAGCCACACAGATCTGGGCTCAGGTCCTCGCTCACCACCTCAGGGCAGGCGCGTCTGGGCGCGGAGAGCTGTTTCCTCACCTGGAAGCGAGGTGCTGGCCTCTCGGAGCCTCGGTGCCTTCCCTGTGAACCGGCAACGATGACAGACGTTGTCATGAGGATTAAGGGACATTGTGTACTGAACACACGTGGCCCAGCTCCTGGCGTGCAGCGGGGGCGCATCGCGACTCTGTTCCACCCACTCGGGCCTGTTCCCCTTGCCTTCCGCCATAGCAGCCTCCTTGCTCTCCTCCTCTCTCTCCTCGCTGTAAGATTTGGGGTGTCAAAGTCTGACCATGAAGAGTCCCACACACCCCTGGCCACAGCGATTGGTTCCTGGATGTATGTGGGACCCGTGGGACACTCAGAGCCACCTTCAAGCATGTCGACTGCACTGTTGGGATGGAGAAAATCTTTACCCCGCGTTTCTAAATGGTCAGCTTTAAAACGTGGTGCTGCCGGTGGCTCTTTACGTAAAAGGGGAAGAATCTGCCTGAGAAGGGAGACAGTCCAGAGGGAAATAAACATGGAGGGACTGTGTCCTTGACCCTTTGCTCCAGCCATGCCGGAACCCATCCCCACCTCGAACCTCCCAGTTTTACGGGCCAGTACCTTCCCATTTGGGTGGGAGCTAGCTAGTCCGAGTGAGGTTTCTGCCTCTCGCAATCAGAAGAGTCCTGAGTAACACACAGCTCAGTAAAGGCCTTTGTGCATCTGCCTGTGCCTGACCCGCAGGCAGAAGACCGGCCGCTCAGCACCACCTCCAGGAGTGAGAGTCCGGGAGCCTCGACTCGCCGGCACCCTGATTCCCTCAGGCCCCTCTCGCAGGCAGGGAAGCACAGTAGTGACAGAGGGGAATGCAGGGGTTTGAGAGTAAAGCAGGTTGGGCTCAAATCACTTCTGTCACTCATCGGCTCTGAGACCTCGGGCAAGTAACTCCCTCCCTGCGATCCCGTTTTCCCATGGATGGAGCGGGATGGTTAGCCTACCTTGGAGTTGCAGCGTATATGGATACTGGATGCTAATGTCAGCGTGAAGGCACAACTGTCCATGAAAACCTAGATGCCTCCAAACATCCCACAGGCTCAGGTGCTCCCCAAGGACCACAGGTGAATCTCCCGTCCAGGGCGCCGGCAGTGCCGAGGCTGCGGAACCCTGGCCTAGCCTCACGCTCAGAGCACTCACTCCAGGAAAGGCTCAGGGACTGGGGGCCGCAGGGAGAGATTCCTCCAAGCCCTCGTGCAATTCCATTAATTAGTCCCTTACGTGACTCTCCCCTGTTTGCAACGTTTGGTCCCCGGATGTTCACACCGCTAGACGCACACTTCCCAATCGAGGCCACGCCTTCGGCATCTGCCTGTTCAAGGCCTGGCTTGTGCCTTCTCGTATTATCTTTTTTCTTCATCTACTGCTACCCCTTCTCACTGCCTCCCACGGGCGGCAACTCCAGTGCATTCAAAATAAATCCTCTCAACCCACTTTCCAATGCTTATGAAACGTATATAATGCTGTTCTTTGGGTGCATATTTTAGGTTTATGTCAATGGCATTGTGTCATAAATCTCAGTCTAGTTCCTGCCTTTTTTATTTCACACTGTATTTTTAGGCGATCCATGATGATGTATGCAAATGCAGTATATGTCTGCCTGCTGCCTCTTTCCCCATCATCTGCATGTACCACAGTTAGTTTGTCCATTTCCCCCGTCATGGACAGGGAGGTCATCTCTGGCTCCTTGCTGTGACAACCCAGGCAGCCTCCAGCACCCTCACCTGTCTCCTTGCCATCCTAGGCAGAGGGAGCGGTGTCGCTGTTTCACAGGTCGTTATGGGTTAGAGTCCCCCCAAAAGATATGTTGAAGTCCTAACCCCCAATATGTGACCATGTTTGGAAACAAGGTCATCACAGGTGTAATTAGTTAAGATGAGGTCATACTGGGGTGGGGGGGACCCCTAATCCCTAATGGCTAGCGTCCTTATAAGAAGAGGGAAGACAGTGTGAAGACAGACACCCTGGGAGAAGGCCACGGGATGGGGAGGCAGGGGTTGGTGTGATGCAGGTGCAGCCGAGGAAGGCGGACGCTGGACTGCCACCAGCAGAAGCTGGGAAGAGGCAAAGAAGGAGCCCACCCAGGGTCTCAGAGGGAGTGTGGGCTGCTCACAGTATCCTAGGTGCTCATCCGTGAACTCCTCTGACCATTTGCAACTTAAAACTTTGTTAGAACTTTTTCTCAATGATGAATACTGGTAATTTGGGTCCTTCTCAAATATATACATACGTTATTCGTTCTTCCATCATCCATTCATCTGGATCAATCTACCCATCTGTCTGTTATCCACCCACCCACCCATCCATCCATCCATCCGTCTGTCCACCTGCCCTTCATTCATTTGTCTGTCTATGAATTCATCTACAGATGGGGAGCCTGCTCAGTGCTGAGGTCATAGTAATAAGTAAAACAAATAGGTCTTTTCCCTCATGGAACTCATCACTCATTGGGAAAGACAGACATTAACAGTTCTTTAGGTATAAGTGTGAACAGCTCTGTAAAGGAGAAAATGCAGTGCCTATGAGAGCATAGAATTGGTTTGATAACACCTGGGGGCGTGGGAGACTTCACTGCAGAGGTGACCTGGAACTGAGGCCTGTGGGATGGGTAGGATGGGCCACAGGAAACACGGTGCAGGAGGAAGAGCCTCCCACACAGAGGAGAACAGGTGTGCCTACTCTGAGGTTGGAAGGCACTTGGCGCCTGTAAAGAAGTAAAACACGGTCAGCACAGCTGGCGGGAGGGCGGGCGGAGATCAGCCAAGGCTCAGGAACTGCGTGGGAGCCGGTGGCCGAGTGTCCCGCGGGACCCGAGCATCGCCGGGGAGCTTCGCTCTGTTGGGAGTAGGAGTTAGTTCCAGGCTGTCAGCGTAGCTCACTTTGAGGCCAGCCTCCCTCCCTCTGCTGAGTAAGAAACGGGCACAACAATATCCACTCCACAAAGAGGTGAGCAATGATACACCGCCCCTGCGATGCCCGGAGGCTCCTAGGGAAGGAAAAACAGTTGTACAAGTCCATCCATTTTTGCCATTATTCAAAAAATCCGCAAATTAGGAAGGCAGGCAGCAAAGCCAAAGGAATGGCTATCCTTTGCCTTTACCTGGTTCCAGTCTTTCTGGGCAACTAAACGAGGCAGAAGGTCGTCTCATTTAACCAGAGCATGACCAGGAAGTGGTGAAAGGTGGACCATTAAGATGAGGCAGCAAAGAAGCTCAGAGGTTAAGTCCCCCCCTCCCCTAGGCCGTGGCTCGAGACGCTGAGAGAGGCTGGGGAAGAAGGCAGGCTTCCTGCCAGCCGGTCCCTGCCAGGCACATTGAAGCCAGGTCAGGCGGACTCGCTTTCTCCGTATCTGGGAATACCACCGAGCGCTCATTCCTCCCCACGAGATCCGTGTGGAGAGGAGCACTTGACCCGGAGTCTTGGGGGGGGGGGCGGGTGGTTCGCCATGCAGGCGGTGAAAGCAATCAGCTGGCCGTCACATTTCCATTTCTCCGGGGCTGCTCCAGTCCTCAGCGAGAGAAAGCGCTCTGACCGGCTGGAAAAGCCGCCTGCTGCACCTCCAATCAGGGCTGTCAATAATTGGGTTTTACAGACGCCCAGATCCAGGGCGATAGCTTGGTGCCTCGCCATCGATTTAGCTATCACGTCAGCTCCATAGCTCACAGCTAGAAACCAGCCCACATACCTCCCCACATTCTGATGCCTCCCATTTCTTTGGGACCCTGCATCCCATTAGTAAAACTAAGCTACTTAGAAGATGGACTTGATGGGTGACTCTGACCTTATCATCTCACTGAATAGCTGCAGGGCCATCCTATTCGAGGGGACACCCTGTCCACAGGTGGGGTTCGGTAGACCAGATCTACGGAATGTGGGGAAGGACTGAGAAGACAGAGGGTGGATGAGCAAGCCCAGGCATCCAACCCTCAGGCGCCCTTAGGGATTGCGCTTCAGAGAGAGACCTTTTTTCCTGACATATTTCAGAGATCAAAAAAATGAAGACTAATTAATGACCAAGGATTTATTAAGTGACTACTTCATCCAGATCCTAGGTCAGACAGTGGGGAAATGTAAAGGCTTTGTGCTATAAGTATGGTCTGAATGTATGTGTGCCCCCATCCAGCCGCCAGCCAGAATTCAGATGTGACACCCTAATGCCCATTGTGAGGGTATTGGGAGGTGGGGCCTTGGGGAAGGGATGAGGGTGTGAGAGGGGAGCCCTCCTGAATGACAGTAAGTCCTTGAGAAAGAGCCCCTCATCCCTTCCACCATGTGAGGGCCCAGTGAAAGGTGCCATGCACGGACCAGGAGGAGGGCTCTCACCCAACCGCGTGGCACCTTGATCCCAGACTTCCAGCCTCCAGAACTGTGAGAAAAAAGTTTCTGTAGTTTATACGCCACCCAGTCTGTGGTATTTTCTTCTAGCAGCCCAAGGGAACTAAGACAGATATAATCTCGAGGAACTTTTGGTTTATCTAAGAAGGCAAATAGATAGATATACATGATAGATGACGGATAGATGGATGGCTGGATAGATAGGAAGACAATCATGGATGGATGGAAAGATAGACAGCGCTGGCTGGTTTGGCTCAGTGGATAGAGCATCAGCCTGAGGATTGAAAGGTCCCAGGCTCGATTCCTGGGCACATGCCCAGGTTGCAGTCTTGATCCCTAGTAGGGGGCATGCAGGAGGCACCCGATCAATGATTCTCATCATTGATGTTTCTATCTCTCTCCCTCTCCCTTCCTCTCTGAAATCAATAAAATCATATTTTAAAAAAGGAAGATAGATAGGTCATAGATGGATGGATGGGTAGATACCAGTAGATTAGTGGTCATGGCAGCCTGTGCTCATTTCAACTAAATGATACCATGAGTAAGTGCTGAAGGGCAGATGAGTCAAATTGGTGGCCCTTTCCCTTTCCTCACCCGTGAAAAGCATCCCTAAGCATTGCTCATGGTACCTGTTGTGAGTTTGTGTCCACCAAAGAGCTATTGAAGCCCTGACCCCTGTACCTATGAATGTGCTCTTTGCAGATGCAATCAAGTCAAGA